AATTTTTATCATTTTCATCAACAATCAAATCATTACTTAATATTCAGTAAATATTTCATCACTATTTTGGTGTTCCACGTAAAAAAATATGTAATACAACGCAAACAACTACTATGGAGGGTATTTTTGTAAAAGATAAAAATTTGGGGTAAAAATTTAATTTTCAAAAGATCCCAAATAATGAGATTTGACCCAAATAGTAGAAAAAACTAGTATTTGAAAATTTGGGATATTTGCCAAAAATATTTGCCAAATAATAGCAAATTGTATGGACAAACATTATTTTGCCAAATTTTTCCAAATATTATTTGGAAAATCTTATGGCTAAACGGGTCCTAAAAAGAAATCAAGAGAAATAAAGTAAAAGAAAAGAAAAAACCTTTATCGAAAATATATTCTTTTAAAAAAAACAAATTTCATAAGTTGTATTTTTGTTCACGCTTGTTTATTAACATCTTAATTTATCCTCAGTTCACACCCTTTACCTCCCCGTTCTTTCCTTTTATAATATTTATCTTTACTATACTATAGAAATGCTTTTACGTTAGTAATTTCGACTTATTTACTGAACATAAAAATAAGTAACACACCCACTCATACATTTTTCAAAGAATATATTCCGTGATTTTTTCTTCCCTCGTGTAGACCATATTATTATAAAAATTTCGTTGATAATGTTTTTTTTTTGAAGTAGCAAATCAAAATTAATCGAACTTCAATACTGTGCTGAGAGTGGAATTAGTTTGATAATTAATTATATGTCATATTGTTTGGATAAGCTAATGGACATTATATTTATCAAATAAAACTTGTATTTCACTTTGGCAACACAATTTCAGTACGCAACAACGACACTGAACTATGGTCTTGTTTTGTGAATTTTAATTCAAAGGTGATGCATATTAATCAAAAAAATTATATTTGATTTTTTCAAATTTGTGTCACAAAATCACAATCACATAGTGATTAAACCGCACAACTTAATGTAGTATATTATATTATAATTATTCCTTCTTGTGAAAGTATAATACAAGTCTATTTCTCAATAGAAATTTAGTTTGAATTTAAGTAATATTTTTTTTTTGTTAGCAAGTGAGGTTTCATTTTTTTTCACTTTTCTTCTCTTCATTGTCATTTTCATTAATCAGATTAACTCTGTTTTAGCTAAGATAATTACTTGACGTAATTAATGAGTGTCTTTTATTCTATGTTTAGGTAATTGATTGAAACTTTGTAAAACTTGTTAGGAATAAAACAATTCAAAGAACAACGCTATGAAAACTTATCAGTTGACCAAGTACACAAAGATCTAAAAAATATATTAAAATTGCTCGTTTTTACCCATCAAATGGCTATTTCATCAAAAATAATCTTTAGCTGTAATTAATTAACAACAATTACTTAATTATCATTAAATAATTATTTTTAACGGTAATTACCATTCTTTGTAAATACCACTAAAGCCTATGACGATATTGGATTCAAATGACTAATGTTGATGAATGTTTCAACATTTTTTGTTAAGATGTATATTTATTACCGCTAAAATCTACTTTCGTCGTAATGAGTGTTCTTTAGTTTTTGTCATTTAGCAATTGAGCTTATGCTTAGTAGGGCATAAGCAAATTCTTTAGAAATTGAAGTCATGTTTAAATATAAAGTATGAAATATTATGACAAAAATTTATAAAATTTATGCCCACAATTTTATTTTAATTTATAATGAGGGGCAATATTTAAAATAAAACAACGCAAAATAGATTCGCATGCAATGATCTGGTCTGGATTATAAAGAAAATGGACTTGAGACTTGAACTTCACATGATTTTATGAAAAATGGGACTGGACTTGGATCAACACAAATTAGCCCAAACCAACTTTTCTTTTTCCTTCAAATTATAATTTCCACTCTGGATCTTTTTTTTTTAAACCATTTCTCGATTTGTGCGTATTATTCCTGCGCATGAGTTATGTTAATTTTCTTTGTATCGTTCCAATTTTCACTTTGATCATGATCACATTCAGGAGAGGCATATGGTTGTTTACTAGTAATCCTGTAAATTCAACAACTGATCAATTACTAATTACTAAAGAGTATTAATTGAACATGTATTATTTTAAAAGCTAGTAATTAATTCACCTGCTATGACGTTTCTCAAAGAATCTCTTGAGAGATTTCCTTCTTGCAATTGGCAACTCTACAGTAGAAAACAACATAATCCACCAAAAAAAAAATCATATAATCAATCAACGTAAAGATGTGAGAAGTATGTCTAACACAGCGTGAATTCAAATTAGTCAAACCACGAGCGTGATCACCTGCTTGAAACTTGTAGACATGATGTGGAACTTGTGACTTCTGAGTTGGTTTAATTTCCTTTGCGTTACAGTTTTCACTTGCCAGATTCATAATTGACTCTGCCTATTAAGAAAAATTGAGATAATAACTCAGATAGTCACTCAACTATGCACTCTTTTATCAAAAAGGCACTCAAATTTAAATTTTAACTCAAAAGTCACTCGGTCATGTACTCATTTCTTAGAATGTCACTCGCTCAATTTTGAATTTTAATTCAAAAAAGTCACTCAAGTTTCTGAGAAAAAAATGCGTAGTTTGAGATATTATCTCAGGAAAATTTCCAAAACTAACAAATATAAGAAAAAATAACGCACAATTTTTGCAATTTCTTATATTTGTAGATACCTTTTGAACAGAAATATTGTCATAAACATGTACAATTCCAGCATAGAATATAGTTAACTGTTCTGATTCAGAAGTGACCCTTTGTGAAACTGGATCCTTTGTATCATCATGCCTATATTTGAGAAATACCATAGGAATTAATTAAAATGCAAACACAATTAGTACCCGCGATCTCATCGATAATATTTAATTACCTTTGATTAAATATAAACTAAAGTAGATATATTGACTTACCCGAGTTGTGGTAAAATAGCCAACTCTAGATTAGACATCCTTCTTTGAACAACAATACTATTGTTGCCTTTTTGTACATATTTGTTGAATAAATCATGAGCTAATTGATCTGTAGAATTATTCATCGAACATGAAATTCTAAACTTTTTTTTTTTGGACTGTTTAATCTTCAACAAATTAAATTGGAATGTGGTCAGTGTACAACTAAACTATATAGTGTAATTGTCTGTGCATGGTGGATAGATTTAGTTAGTTAAGTATTGGTGTAAAATTAAAATAATGGATGATTGGAAATAACGTCTAAAAATGACCAATTATGGGTCTGCAGGCATATATATCGATGAATTCGAAATTGAAAACGTTTCTCACAAGAACCCTTTAGATAATTAAATATTTGGATATACTCTAATTATAATGAGGTCCAATTCTCTTCCCAGAAAAGACAATAATATATACCTTGATCAAACAAAAGAAGTAAACTTCAAGTTTTACAAAGAAAGAGAATATGATATTTTAAAACAATTTGGTGTTTTTAAGTAATAATCATGCAACCACGTTGTAAGCATAACTTGTCTCTATAAATATAAATAAGAAACATTGCTAAGCTGTATCTCTTGTTCTTATGTTTGGCAAATAAATAGTAATAATTTTGTTCTTTTTTTGCATAATGGGTGTTATAATATCTGTGATTTTCTTTTCTTCAGGAATAATTGTTCTCCTGATATTTCATTTCTGCATAGAAGGGAGGTCTCTAATAAGACAGGCTGCTGAAAATGGTGTGATTATTCAAAGTAGTAGCAGCAATGGAGCAAGTACAAAAATGTCTGATCAAGACTTGAAGAAACTCCCCTGTTTTCTGTACAAGGTTGATGAAATAGATAGAACAGAAGATACCTCGGAATGCGCTGTGTGTTTAGAAAGATTCAAGACAGGAGAAAACTGCAGATTGCTGACAAATTGCCACCACAGTTTCCATCTCAAATGCATTGATTCATGGTTGATACAGACACCATATTGTCCAATTTGTCGAACAAGTGCCCTGATACAGTCCTGCTAAGCATATATATGGATAAAAGATGGGGTTCTTTAGCATATGATGTAAATATTTTTCAGGGGACGAGAAATGGGAGGTCGTTAAAACCACACCCAGGGTGGAATTTTGCATGCTCACCTACAAGGGGTGGTGTACAGAAATTTCAACATCATTGTATGCAATATATCATTTGGAAACAGATTTGTTGCACCAGGAATAATATTTATCGAAACTAAAATTGAGTGAATTGAACTGACCATGTTTTTATGGGCTAATTTTTTCACCCTGCTTAAAGGAAGCAAAAGCCTTTCCACCGTGTTTTTTTAACCAATTCATAATAATCTGCAAAGACAAAGAAAAATCCCTCCTTTTCAACAGTTACTAGCGACGAAATCAACTATTTCTTCGCAGAAAAACTAATCATTTCAAGGCAGCAGAATATATGATAGTGTAAGAAGGGGGGAGCCTAATGTAATCTGAGTAATTAATCTTGAGAAACATGGCTATACATTTGAGAAGCCACAAATAACTATAAAAATAGCACTTCAAAAATTTGAGTAATTTTTACACAAACGGTGAAACTTACCACCATTGAATTAATTTCCTCTTTCAATTTCTCTTGCTGATTTCAAGAGATTCAAGGAGAAATATAACTCAATTGACTCCAAGGTGCATATATCCGCAAACTCCAGAGGGATTCTATCCAGGTGACACATCAGTTGTAACACTACGCAATGAAGATTTGGGAAGTTATCACTGTTAGCCTCCCACCTTTTCATGCATACGTTATCAAGTAGCAGGAACTTTAGCTGCTTGAACTGAACATCATCATTTAGTTTCCACACGTCACCATAGAATGAATTGTTCCTGAGTTTGAGCACTTCGAGATTGCGCACCTTCGCAATAGTTGCTAAATCTTCCCACGGAAGGTGACGATCAAACATGGTCAACCTCTTAAGAGATGTTGGGAAACAACAACAATTCGCCAGGCGTGACGACAGTGAACACATCCTAAAACATAAGTAAAGGGATTCAAGTTTATTTAAGCAGACAAGACTGAGTAAGCTCCAGGATGTTTTTATCTCATTGTATTCGATATCTCTTCTGAAATCATCGATCCTCAATTTCTTTAGATTCGCAAGGCAAGATAGTACCACCTTTGTACAACTAGCAATACAGAGATTTGAAACCTCCTGTAGATGATGCAGATCAACATCAGATGAGTTATTGCCTTGAGGATTGGGTAAATGAATGTTATGCATAACACGGAGATGCCTCAACTGCTTAAGATTCCAGAATTCTCTGGGCAAAGTTAGAACCTTTAATATTTTACGGGTATAAAATATAAAGGTTTGAAGGTTGTGCATATATCCAAGGAATTCCGTGAACTCACTGTCACTAGTAACTTCAAGGTATCTCAGGATAGCTGAATCTAATGTCATGTGATGGCGAAAGATAAAGGAAGACTTAGGAATGACCAATACTCTCAAAGCTTTGAATTCCGAAGTTTTTCCTGTTGGTTCCTTGAAGAGGTACAAGGAAAGTACAACTTGTGAGGACTTCATAAACTTTTCCAAGGAAATGGAGGTATGAACACTAAAGTTCGGCGCACTCTGTTCATTTGCTGCTGAAAAATTAGGAACTTCATTATTTGTAATCATATTCAAAAGCTCTTCCTTTTCAGCATCTCTCACACTCAAATCCCGTAACAGTTCATGCATACTGCAACTTTTGATCCGACCATCTACCTTCTTCCTCGTAACCATTATCAAATTTCTACTGACAAGATCCTCCAAGCATTCCTCAGCCACTTCTTCAGGACTTCTCAACTGTCACTCTTTAGAAATCCCTCAGCAACCCATCTGATCAATGTCCAAGCATCAATCTCATTACCCTCGGGAAATGTTCCGATATGGAGGAAGCAAGGGTTTAGGTGAATAGGCAAGTAGTGGTAACCCATAGCAAGTAATCCTATGCGTCCTTCCGGATCACTTGTAACAACTCTACTAACATTTTTAGCTACTATTTTCCCAAGTTTCTTTCGTCATGGGAACTTTCGAGATGCCATGCAACCACCAATATAGATAACGGCAGTCCTTCACATTTTCCAACTATTGCCCTCCCTATTTCCTCCAATTCTGCAGGACAACTTTGTTCTACACCAAATAACTTCTTGTGAAGTAGCTTCCAACTATCATATAAACTCAATGGCATCATTTTGTAAGCATGAACTTCGGGGTTAACATGCATAGCTACACATCCATTCCTTGAAGTCAAAATAATTCGACTACCATTTCTGTCCTCTGGAAGAACTCTTGAAATCACATCCCATATCTCTGTGCTCCAGACATATCTCTGAAAATGGCCTGACTGTTGAAGTAGCAGCAATGGAGGAACAAAAATGCCTGATAAAGACTTGAAGAAACTCCCCTGTTTCCCCTGTACAAGGTTGAAAAGAGAGACAGAAACAGAAGAGAAGATACCTCGGAGTGTATAGTTAAGACATGAGAAAACTGCAGGTTACGGACAAATTGCAACCACAGTTTCCATGTCAAGTGCATTGGTTCATGGTTGGTACAGACACCAATATTGTCCAATTTGTCGAACAATTTTCCTGAAACAATCCTGCTAAGCATATGTGCGGAAAGAGATTGGATTCTTGAGCATATAATCGAATATTTCAGTCCAATCAAACTCATTTGCTGCTCCTCTGCCACCTGCTGTCCAGAAATGCACACTCATTTTGAAATTTCTAGCATTCTTCTTCTTTGACTAAGCACGAAATTTTGATCATTGGATTAAGCTCGCTAGATATAATGTACCTAGTGGATCATAACTAAAGGTAGCTCTACCTGCACCTTCACATACACTCTCAACTCAATTGAGTAATTTTGTGCATCAGACATAGCCGTCACTTCTCCGGGAGACCATCCATCCACCATTTGACCATGAGGATAGGGGTTCAAGTGATGGAAACAACCTCTTGCATAAATGCAAGGTAAGGCTGGATACAATGGCCTCAAATATGGTGAGAGTTTTGTACAGCAGACTGCCTTTTAAACATGCTTTCACCTTCTTTCGGGTACTTTCCTGATAACCTCTCCCTCCCTGAAAAACTGATCTTCAAGGATAGGAGAAGAACTGAATTCAGTTGCCAAAATAAAAAGCAAAGTTAGGGAGAATATGTGGATTACGGAAGTTCAAATGTGAATTTCTAGGCCCTTTATGAAAGTTCTATGATTGCAGACCTTCGTTAGATGAGTCTCAAAAGTCAACCCAGAGAATGATGAAAACAAAAATTTATTCATGAGTGTACAAATGGAAAGAAAAAGAACACAATGGTTCAACATGAATATTCAAGATTTATCAGTCACTTCAAGGCTACTTTTTGGTTGAGTAGGGTTAATACATCTCCAAAAGAAACCTAAGCAACTACCCATTATGTTCATAATGATGGCTGAAGTTGCAGCAGGTAATGCAACTGCTGGTGAAGAGAAATGAGAGGTCGCTAAAACCACTCCTAAGGCAGAATTTTGCATGCCCACCTGCAAGGGAAGTACAGAAACTTTAACATCATTGGCTGCATATATCGTGCGAAGAAGCTCCATTTGGCTGTGAGTAACAACTTGGTTCAAGATGGAATACATTTCGTAAGATTTGTCGTGCAAGGATTGATAATTATCAAAACCATTTTCCTGAATTCAGTTGAAATTGTATAAGGTTGTGGAGGGAAGTGAAATAGTGAGGCAATCTTCCTTTTCATTGAGTAAAATATTTTTGGTTTTGAGAAATTAGAACTAACAAAAGTGGAAATCATATCCAGGAATATATTGGTTTCATTTATTAGATATATGTGCCATTGAGAAGTGATCAAAGAAAAAGTCTTTGATTCTTTTCCATGCTTGACAATAATTTACTAAAGTAGTAAGTGTGGAAGTCTTACTCCCATCAAGAATGTACCTCGATGGATACAGCTCGTCTTTGAGGTTCGCTAAAACCGGCCAAAGCCGCAGAAAGATACCTGACGAAGAATTCATCATATGACATCATCACATGGATGCTAAATCTGGCCAATAGATTGAAACAAAGATAATCTTACCCAACAAAGAAACCAGCAAAATGAAGCGATGCGACAGACACCGCAACGAGTCCAAATTCGCTAGCTAGCACATTCTGAGCACGACTGATTAGAGGCAAATCAGAAGATAATGACATGCCAACCATGGAAGATCTTAGATGACCAACATTTTCAGAGAATATACTGGGCAGAAAAAAAGAAGAAGAAGATAGTATGAGAAAGGAATGAAATAGGAAAGGGCAGTTGAGGAAACAATTTATCTAAAATGATTTAGGAGCAACAATTAAACCTGGCAGAAACAAGAGATGTAGCTAAGACTGCAAGAAGGGGAGCAAAAGGTGTAACTTTTTTTACAGCTTTCGGAAATTTCTGCTGCATATAAGAACCCAGGAGAATTGGAGCAACCACAACCTGAAAAAGAAGCAACAAAGAAAAAAAAATTATCAACACCAGTAAACATATATAGACACGAATCAACTCAAAATATCATTATATTTACGCATAATAGTGAAATGACAAAACCTGGAGCGTGCTGATAGAAAGCTTAACAGCATCCACAGGAACATAAGTTCCAGCCAGAATCGTTGTCAAGAAGGGAGTTAGAACCACTGCACCAACTGTAGTGCAGGCTGTCATCACTATTGATAACGGGACATCTCCTTGTGCAATTAAGGTTACCTGTAAATCAATTAGAAAGCAAAAAGGAGGCTTTGCATTGAGCTTTGGCTATAAGGCATATATATTCACATATCAAGAAGTTGATATCCAAATACAAGAGAGTGCATTCAATAAAAGCAGATATTTCATTCAAAACTTTTGTTCCAATCAGAAAAAAGAAACTGGCAGAGGAAATATTGCAACAGAAGTGAACTTCTAGTCGGATGGAAAAATACACAGAATTAACCAACTTTGAATGCTTGCTAAAAGCCATGGTGAAAGAGAGAATTACACCTTTCTATAAAGCATGGTGATTGTATGATTCACCCAAATTACTTGCATTCCTCAATAATGAAAAGGAGGACAGTCTTTATAAGGGATTGCTTCCCATACAACTATTTTCTACTTGCAACATCATGCCTTTCTGTTTTTTTCTCCTTTATGGGCTTGTCAATTTGAACTTGAAGTGTGACAATGAAGACCACAAATTACATATGACATGGATCCTAGAAACACCAAAAGGAAATTCAACAAAAATTCAGTGGACAAACCACAAGAAAAACAAACCTAGTATGGTTCATCACATTGTTGAAATATAATGCAAGCATTGGACATCTACAATCTAAAATTAAACCTGATTAACTAACACCGTTAAGAAGAACAATACGGAAGAAAGTAACCTTACCACGTTAGACGCTGTACCTCCAGGGCAACACGCAAGCAATACCAGACCAACTGAAATTGAAGGAGGCAGACCCAAGATTTTGCTGAGAATCATTCCCAAGGCTGGCATAATAGTATATTGAGCAGCACAACCAAACAGAATCTAGAAAGATGAAGGAAAACCAAAGATTTTGGCCTATATGAGTTTACCTATATGCAAATATAATATCTTACTAAAGTATAAGAAACAAAGTCAAAGTACTTGCTCTTTTCATCAAATCAAGAAATCAAGCAGTCACCATGTCCTTGAACCAAATGTTTGGTCCAAGTGGACACATATACATTCTTTCTTTGAAAGCTTAGGTTGAATGTTATAGCATGCGAATATTATATTTGTAGCTAAAATGTGGGACCAAGTATATATATCTATGCTTCTTTTCTGTAGATATATCTATATTTCTTTTTTTGTCAATTGAATGTTTCAAAATGCAAGTGCTGCATATTTGTAGTCATAGGTTCGAAATAAGGGGAAAAAGGTAATCACATTAGCAGTGGACAACACATATGTGACCGTCCTATTAATTGAATTTCCAGAAGAGCTAATGAAGTTGGCAACGGAAGATTACGTACATCTCTTATGGAAAGATTAGAGAACACCGACAATCTGTCAGCAATTAGCATCATTAAGTGCATATTAATATATCTAAAACAAATCAAACCACTGAAAAGGGGTGAATTTTTTTTAAAAAAAAATTGAGTGTACTCACAGAAAGAGGCCTTTGCAATAACAAGTTAGTTAACTCTTTGATCTCCAATGTAAGACCCATAGCAAGCATTATAAACCAAAGAGTCAAACTATATGAAGTGGGACTACACTTGACAAACCATGAAAAAGTTGAGGGCTTTAAACAAGCAACAACCCCACCAACAGTTATATAAACAGGATAAAGACTTTCTGCAGTTGACAACCAATTTGCCCATCTGGGTTTTTCTTGAATCACAGAAAGATTCTGAGGATGATCAGGAACACATTTTACTTTCTTGAAATTGGGATTTAAAATCTTTGGGGTTGTTAAAGTGGTAATGGGTTTATAAAGGGGGATTCTTGAATAGTGTTTTGGGGTTGTTGAAGTGAGGGGAGAGAAGCAAAGAGATATCGCCATAGCTGAGTTGGAAGAAGAAAAGTTTCAAGCTTTCTTGAATCAGTAGGGATCCATTCTTGATTCTTGGAATGGAACTTTACAGTAACTAAAAGGAGTAGTATTTAGGTGATCTATTTATTAAGTATACTTAATTCTTTTAATTTTAAATCTTTTGTTTAGAATTTATTTTAAAAATTTATGCTCGATTTAACATTTAAAAAATTAAATACTGCAATCTTTTGATCAATGATCATCAACTTTGAACCTTTTCATATAAAAAGAAATGGACATAAATTCTTCAGTAATAAATGAAATACATATTTATGAAAAAAATTATTATAATTGAGGCATACTAACTTATACTTGTGTGAGGATACTTTTTTATAGTCCCATTATTTTATATTAATTAAATTTTTTAATGGTATTTCATGTTTTTGAAGAAAAGTAAATTACAATATAAATTAAACATAGTATCTCATTTTTATTCTTATTATTAAATTTATTAAAATCATCCTATCAAAAATCCAAGCGTAAAATTGAAAAAATATTTTTACCTACAACATCAACCATAATTTTCATTTTTCCTCAACCATTTTTCTTTCTCTTTCCTATTTTGTTTCATTTTCTATTTTTTTAGTACTATTTTTAGACCAATTTTATATATTTCAGATAAAAAATATACTTGTTTTTTGATATTATTTTATCACTAAATAAATGCATAAGATATTAATAGTCAAACTTGATATTTTAAAACATAGTTAATATGGTAAAATTTAATGAAATAAACCTCTAATAAAATACAAGTGAATTTATATTTTTTTAAAAAAAAGCGGAACACATATTATTTAAATTGTATATTCAATATTTAAATATTATTGACAGAAATTCCTTTTAAATAATATCATATAAATATATTTTTTAAAAAAAATAAATGAGATAGAAAAAATAGCGGAGAAGATACACATATAAGTATATGAAAACTAAACTTTTACCAAAATATAAAAGTTCAACAATTAATTAATTAAAAATATATTTAAAAATCCATATTCCAAATAATAGATAATCACTTATGTAAACCTTTCTTTCGACAATTCTCCATAAAATTAAAACAAATTTTAATACATTCTTTATATCATTAAATTAAAAGTCGCCTTTTATTTTCTTAATATATCAAGATAAAAATCAAACAGTTATTTTTTGAGGGCTTTAAGCAGGCAATAACCCCACCAACAGTTACATAAACAGGATAAACACTTTCTGCAATGGACACCCATCTGGGTTTTTCTTCAATCACACAGAGATTCTCAGAATTTATTTTCTTGAAATTGGGAATTAAAATCTTTGGGGTTGTTAAAGTGGTGATGGGTTTATAAAAAGGGGATTCTTGAATAATGTTTTGGGGTTGTTGAAGTGAGAGGAGAGAAGTACAGAGATATCGCCATACCTCAATTTTATCAGACTCCTCTTACCTCCAAAAAAAAATTAAAAGATTTTTTCTTTTGTTTTAGTGGATGGAAGAGTGAAGCTAGGGATTAATTTTTTTTTGAAAAATTTCTATTAACATCAGTAGAACATTCTACGAATAGATGCACATGTAATAACAGGAGTATTTTTAAATTAATTTAATTAAAACTAAAAAAATTGTTTTTAAGACTATGAATAGTCGAAAAATTAGAATAATAATTCACGTCAAATTTTAGGGGCATTTTCAATACTTATCTCTATATTCATTAACAAAGAATAGTAAACATTCTTTATCGATATTAGTTAATTTTAATTTTTTTAAAGAATATCAGTTATCACTAAAAATATATATTCAACGATAATTAAGCTATAATTATCAAAGATCATTTTTAATGTAGTAAATATTCGTGTTATGTACTTTATTATTTAAATTACACGTAATACAGTTTGCAAAAAATAAATAGTAGTAATAAAGAACCTCTCATATCCTCGAAAAAGAAAACTTGGTTATACATTAAATTTGTGTATTTCTTTGTGGGTGAAAAAAGGAGACTCATTTTTTACAAGACAGTAATATACTTTATTTAATATATTTCAAAATGAAATGTCTATGATATTCATGGCTAAGCTCTCCATCATTACATATTCCATTTCTCCTCCGCAATATTTCTCCTTACTGCTGCTACCTTTCCCTGCATTTTTTTCAAACACGTAATATTAGAACAATATTACTGGGTTAACACGTTTAATTATAGAAAAAATTATGATTCCGCCGCTGTAGAAGAAAGAAGAAGAGAAGTGCATACCATACAAAGAATTAGGCATTGTTTTTTGGTCAAATGTTGGGAGATTAGAGAGCTTTTTGATTGGGCAAGAGGAAAGTGGAATAATTGGTATGTTTTGGCAATTGCAAATTTCAATCATATTGCCATCTGGGTCATGAAAAAAGAGTTGATCTACATTAACTCCACCTTCTTTAACAGTAGCAGTTACATATTCCACATTCATTTCATTCAATCTCTGAATAATAAGATCCATATCTGTACACTGAAATGAAATGTGATTATCTTTTGGGTTAATTTTTCCCCTTTTTGATTGCACATCTTCTTTTCCTAACAAATGGATTCCAATTCCATGGTTGAACAACCTATAATTATTAAAAACATATATATTAATTGACAGTTAAAATAATTAGGAGGGAGGGAGAATATTATATATATATATATATATATATACCAAGCTCCTTCAAATTGGAAAGAAGAGGGCCTCTGTATAAGACTAAAGCCAAGGACTTGTTCATAAAATTTGACAGATTTGGGAACAGATTTGCAGATATAGGAAACATGATTCAATGCCAACATAGGCATGGTTGATGATTCTGATCTCATTATCTCTTTACCCATTCTTAATTTTGTTGGAATTAATAAAGTATGAAATTCAATATTCCTTTTTAGTTGTGTGTGTGGAGTTTTACATAAGACTTAAAGAGGGCAGACACATGTATATATAGAGGCAGGAATGAGGTCTTTCAATTGGGTTAGGTGGGAATGTATTGCAGAGGCCGAACTAGGCGAGAGTTTGTGAATTCGGATAAATTTACTAGTTTTTTTAAAAAATATTCTGTATTAAAAAATTAAATAAATATATGTGTATTAAGACGTGAATCTTCAAATAAAATTAACTCAAAATCATAAACTTCTAATTTTGACTCCGCCTTGTATACGAGGAGAATTTAATTTTTCCAGCTAAGAACAAACATAAGCCAGGCCCTCAAAGAACACATAATATCTCTCTTCACTTTTATATTTAATTACTATAAGATATTCTTTAGATCTGTACACAGCTAGCTGTAGCCCTTGAGAGTTCAAATAGCACGTTTTTCTTAATTCTTTTTTTGGCTTGTCAGAAATTAAATAAATTTGTGAAAGCAATGGAGTCAAAGCTAAAATTGAGGGTTAAAGTGGTCACCATATATTACTCCATCGATCCCATGATAAAACCAAAACACCTATTTTTTAGGGAATGAAAAATAAACAAACGGATGGCTCGATTGGTTGAGAGAGTGATTATCCATGCGGTTATGCGGATGATTGCATGGATGATCTGAGACTGACTCTTCATTAATGTTTTCTGAGTGGAACATGTCGTATAGGGCTTTATTTAATGTACAATTTAATTTACATTTTTTTGTTGATTTACACGCTATTACATGGTAAAGTTTTGTCCAATCACATGAAAGCAAATGTTAGATTGTGGACTGTGACAAAAATTATAGCAATTACGAATTATAATGAATTAAAAAAACTATATATGTGTCATTTCAATACGAGGACATTAAAATTAAAAAATAGATACAAAGTCTGAGCTATATGTAAATGGCAACGTTACACGCTTCCTGTTATATTGACTTCACAGCATGAAATGTAACTTAATCAACACTTACGTAGTAAAACCAAAACATTTAATCAGGAAAAGGTCAAATTTTGTGAAGATGTTCCTTTGATATTGAACCATTTTATGTTACGTTAGACTTTTTGATCTAAATTATTAATTCTGTCATTTTGAAAAAACTCTTTAAGTTTGCCAACTTTGAACATATATAATATAAATAAATGCTAATCAAAAGTTGAAGGGTAAACTTAAAAACTTCTTTTATCACAAAATTTAGGCATATAAAGTCGATTTATATTATCATGTCGTAATCCACTCTATTTGACAAATTATGTGAGATTTTTCATGTAGAATATTTATATTTATTTATTCAGTTTTATAATAAATTAATTAATTATTTTTAATTTATCAACTTTATAATTAATAGAGGTAAAATGATAAACTCAATATCTCAATCATTATTTTTTAATAAGTGTATTAATATAAAAGTAAACGAGTAATTAGGAACAGAGAAAGTATTTATTTAATAAAACGATAGAGTAGTTGAAAGTTGGTGCATACATTTTATAATTACTTCCTTGACTCGTTTGATTACTTGTTTGTCTTGTTTTCATCTTTTGAAAAAGAAAGCTCAAGTTAAAAGCATTACTCTATTATGCATGCATGGATTAGCTAGCTAGTTAAAGTCTGTCAAGGGTTAAGTATTCAATTATTTAATTCTCAGACATGAAATAACTTTTCTCTAATATACTCCATCCGATATTATTTGTCATAGTTTCTATTTTTGGAGTCAAATATAAAAACTTTGACTAACATTTTAAGATACATTTTTTTCATCATATTAATATGCAAAAAACTGTAATTTATAGTACTTTTCATATAGTTTTAGAATATTTAATTTTTTTGTTTAAAATATCGAATTAGTGCGATCTAATTTACTTTTGAAAATTAGTCAAATTGACTTTCAATAAGCGCAACATGACAAACATTTTCGTACGGAGAGAGTATATATAGAGAGAGATAGTAGATAGAGATAGATAGATAGATGAATACTCCCTCCGTCTGGTATTGTTTATCATGGTTTCTATTTTTAGAGTCAAACTATAAAAACTTTGACTAATATTTAAGATGTTCTTTTCCATCATATTAATATGCAAAAAATTGTAATTTATAGTAATTTTCATATAGTTTTAGTATATCTATTTTTTTTTTGTTTAAAATATTGAACTAATGTGATATAATTTACTTTTGAAAATTAAT